GTTCAATAAACCAATTAAACGTGAGTCCAATATGCGTCCAGGTTCAATGATCCCATTGATTGTGAGCTGCGTCCAAGTTCAATGAACCAATTAAACGAGAGACTCCGGTATGCGTCCAGGTTTCCGGATCAAGCACAGGTGGTATTGTGTATATGTGAGTCCGATTAGTGTCCAAGTTCAACGAACCAATTAAACATGAGTCCGGTATGCGTCCAGGTTCAATGATCCGGTTGATTATGAGCTCGACATCGTCCAGATTCAACGATCCATTTTGAGTTGACTCCCTCAAGGGCCATCCTATCTCTGTTGGGTGTGTGCATGTCCTTTTCTGTGTACAGGCTTTGGATGCTGTTGAGACTGAAGTCGGAGGCCTATCCGCTTGCTGTGAAAGGTAGGTGGACGGTTTTATTGAAAAGGTTCATCAATTTTAAGGATTTTATTGAAAAGGACACAAAGAGAAGAGTGAAGGTAGGTGGAGGGGGGTTATTGAAAAGCTTTTTCAATGATTGCTATTATTAAAAAAATATAATATTAAAAAACTGAATGACCAGAGAAGAAAAGGATAAGCCCTATCCTGCTCTTATCTGGTCAATTCGGGTCTATTAATAAATAAATACTAAATGCAAGGAAGATGAGCATTAGCGAACTCCAGCAATCAGACAGCATCATACATATGTGTCCAGATAGTCTTGACCTCGAACCAACAGCAGTCATGCATCACGAGATTCACCAAATCAGAACACACCAATAGTTCGTAATTGACAATGCTGAAATAGTCTCTCATCATCATCAACGAAGAACAAGAGTTGATATCCTATTGGCGCTCGGYGCCCAGACTACTTGTGGCAGATCCTATCTAGCCTAATACTACAATGCCGATGTTGACAACAACAGCTCCCTGAAGTACGAGCATACAGCGGACAATGCCGCAYGCTTCCAGCACCAGGTATGTCTCTCGTAACACTCACMACCTYGATCCACACCGCACAGATGCCACTTGCACCCAAGGACCACSCTGCGTCACATCCAGCCTACAGCGGAGCAGCTCGGCTATGGCTGCCCGCTACCTCCCTGCTCGCCCGTGAGAGCGTGAGTGCCAGCCAGCCAGCAATGAGCGCAGCATGCAGCCAGCACCCGAATATCGAATGAGGAGGCAGGCCCTTCCCTATATCGAAGTGGCCTGCCTGCGTCCAGTCCMGGAAGCTTCCGGTAGGMCCCGGTAGGCACAGGCCCAGTMACGAAGAGAGCAGGCCTTGKGCCTGAAGTGGTTGCATGCGCCCAACTGCTTTCGGCCTGTGTTTGGCCYGGTACCCGTATCCAGCCCAGGGCCTGCTTCAMATTCATTTACACAGGCGGCCGAGGGCCTGGATTCATTCAACCAACTGGCGCAACGCAACTGCCTGAATTTTCCCCGATGCGGGGTACCCTGAAGAATGAGGCCCGAAGGGCCTGTCGTGCCTGCCTTCACTTAGGGCGGCCGACCTTGTTGCAGATAGGGCCCCGTAAGGGCTAAGCGGGCTTAGCCTCGCATTCCCTCCATAATATCTTCGTTAGTCCTCTGCGAAGATCAATCTGCAGCCATCTGGCGCTTTCCTTTCAGTACATCCTTCTCATAGCGGGCAACGGTTTGAGGAGCGGTCTGCATCAGTTCCTCCCGAGTAAACCAGCGGTCCTCCTTCGGATCTGTATGATGTCTGAAGTGGACTCGGAACTCCAGCTTTGGCTTTGGAGGACGTCCCCTTCCTAGAGGCTTCTGAACAGGCATCTCCCTGTGGTCAACGATATCATCGATGTCGACTTCTCCGTCCATGGTTGGGGGCAGCATGGATCGACGAGAGGGAAACTGATCAGTTTCCTCGAATGCAGCGAGCTTAGAGGCGTGAAAGACTGGGTAAGTTCTGAGATGACCAGGGATACGGATGACATATGATGGACCATCAGGATCTGTCCCTACTACGTCTAAAACTTCCCAAGGTCCAAAGTACTGAGGCATGAGTTTGCGGGATATCCCGAACTCCTGTCCCAGTTCTGAAGATTTGACCCAGACTCTGTCCCCAACCTGAAATGTAGAAGGGTGGCGGTGTTTATTCTCAGATTCTATCATTGCTGCCTGCGCCCTCTGTGTATGCTCTACAGCCTCCTGCATCTTCTGTTCATAACGATAAGCGAACTCCAAAGTGCCTGGCGTAACAGTTGGCTGGTTATCAGGAAGTAGGAAGTCTAAAGGCAGTCTAGGCCTAAAGGTAAGTTGTAGACTGTTAGGACTTACCCCGGTAGCGCTGTGTACAGCGTTATTGTACAGACTGGCGACAAGAGCAAGCTTCTCGTCCCAGTCCACCTGGTTGGGCTTAATGTAATGCCTCAACAGGTGTTGGACAGCGCGGTTCATCTGTTCAGCCTGGCCGTTTGCTTCTGGATGGTTTCCAAAAGTCATTTGCAGTTGAGTTCCTTGTTCAGCTGCAGCGGCCTTCCATAATTCACTTGTAAATCTGACATCCCTGTCACTTACAATAGACTTAGGCAATCCAAAATCCCTCACCCAGTTCTCTTTGAACAGCCTGATTACATACTCGGTCTTCGCTGTTTCCGGCATGGCTGTTAACCTAGCATACTTGCTAAACCTATCCACGATGACGAAGATCTGCCTCATCCCACTCTTGCTGGTGACCAGCATATCCATGAAGTCCATGGACAAGCTTTCACCCGGCCTTTCCGGAATCGGAAGGGGCTTGAGCAGCCCAAGAGGAGCCTGAGTACGGGGCTTGTCTCGTTGACAAACTTGACAAGTCTCCACATACAGCTGTGCATCTCGCATCATCGTGGGCCACCAGAATCGCTGCAGCAGGTTGGCTGCGGTCTTCTTATACCCGAAATGACCGGTGGCATCATGACACTCACCTAGAAACAAACTACGCAAAGACTCACTATTGGGAACACACAATCGTTTATTCCCTGAACAGCAAGCCATTAACCAACTCAAACTCGGTGGACGTCTTCTTGTCCTTCGCCTCAAGTCTGCGTATGATCTCAGACATGAACTGGTCCTCGCGATAGGCTTCCACCAAGGATTGAGTAACATTGTCCGTGAGACTGAACTCAGTATTCAGCGCACTTGAGAAGTCTGGTCTGCGCGACAGGGCGTCAGCAACCTTGTTATACTCCCCTTTCAGATACTGAGGGTCAAAGTCATATTGCTCAATGACTTTAGAGAGTACCGGCTGGGTTCTCATCCATTTCAGGGTCTGATGATCAGTTCTGAGGATGAAGAACCTCCCAAGGAGATAGTGTCTCCAATGGGTGAGAGCCTTGTACACCGCATAGAGTTCCTTCTCATAAGTGGACTTAGCCAACTTTTGAGACGGCATTTTCTTAGACATGTACTCAACTGGCCTCAACTTTGGCCTCTCCTGCTACGCAAGCACGGCGCCAATGCCATATTGGCTAGCATCCGTGGTTACTATAAATGGCTTATCAGGATCGGGTAGCTTCAAGACTTCATAGTGCGTCAATGCATGCTTCAGATGTCTGAAAGCAGCCTCGCACTCATCTGTCCACTCCCACGGGGTGTCAAGGCGGGTCGGATTAGTCAAAGAAGCGGCCACAATGCTATAGTTCTTTACAAAAGTCCGGTAGTAGCCTGTCATTCCTAAGAAAGATCTCATCTCAGTCACAGACTGAGGTCGTGGCCAATCACGAATGCTGGCCACCTTCGCGTCATCGGGCTTCAACCCTTCCGCGGAGATCTCATGACCCAAGTACAAGATACGGGTGCGGCCAAACTCGCACTTTTCACCGTTGATCTTGAACTTGTGTTGTCGCAGGAGACTGAGAACTTTGTCTAAGTGTGCTACGTGCTCCTCGACAGTCTTACTAAAAATAAGTATGTCATCTAGGTACACGACGACAATTCATCGAGGTACACGACGACAAACTTATCTAAGTAGTCATGGAATATCCGATTCATAGCGTGCTGAAAGGTGCCAGGAGCATTGCAAAGGCCGAAAGGCATCACCACAAACTCGTACAGATCGTATCTGGTCTGAAATGCGGTTTTGTGTTGATCCTCGGGCCGGATTGCAATCTGATGGTACCCGGACTTCAGATCTATTTTACTGAAGTACCGACACCCTTGCACTCTATCTAACAGATCATCGATGCGCGGTAGGGGCTCTCTGTTCTTCACAGTGATGGCATTGAGGCCCCTATAGTCAATGCACATCCTGAGAGTGCCCTCCTTCTTTTTAGGTACGAACAGTACTGGAGATCCGTAAGGAGAGACACTCGGCCGGATCCAACCCTTCTCTATGAGTTCCTTGAGTTGGCGGCTAAGCTCATCAAGCTCGCCTGGAGACATCCGATAGATCCTACCCTTCGGAATACTAGACCCTGGGATAATCTCTATCGCGTGGACGACCTCCCTCTCAACAACCCCTGTAGGCTCCTCAAATAGATCTGGGTACTTAGCAACTACTCCCTCTATCTCTGGCGGCATTTTTACCGGCTCGCCTGCAGCAGAGACGTAAACCAGATACATACTCTCCTTCGGATTTTGCTTATAATAATTGTAGAACGCGGCCGCACACAAGCATCCGTGGGAATCGATCAGACTACTAGCCTTAAACTTGTGTAATCTGGCGGTTCCCCCGTTTGGCAAAGTGTGTTTGACCACCTTTCGGTCCCAGTCAAACTGGGGCTGTGCCACAGAGAGGTAGTACATACCTAATAGCATGTCCATGGGGAGCTCGTCGCTAACCAGGAATGAGACATGATGCCTCAATTCCCCTCCCGCGTACGGGAAAAGACATTCTATGTCTTTTAGGTAGTCATGGACTACCATGCGCTGTTTGTTGGCGCAGGTCGATTCCACAAGTCGACTCAGGAGCTGCACTTGCCCCTGTAAGCGCAGCCTCTCAACGCACGTGCGACTAATAAAGTTCCTAGTCGAGCAAGTGTCGTAATCGGCCCCGGCCTTGCAGCCTCCTATGACTACGTCGCTGACAAACATTTCACTCCTAGGGGCCATGACTAACGCCGTCCAAGAAGCTAGTGGGTCTGATCTAGACCACTCATCCTCTAGCTCCTCTAAGGATTCAAACACATTCATCGAACAGAGGGTCGATGGGTCTGAATGTGCTTGCGGGACGACTGAAGAGT